GTTCAATGGAATTTAAACTTCCAAGGCAAAATACATACTGATGATGCGGTTTTTAACGCATTTATCACTCATAAATTAATGTCAACTTTAAGACATCAACTTAAACAAATATATATTTACAAAACATTCAAAGGTAAAATTGTTTTCATCAARAAGTTTTACATTATAAAATATTATTTATTATTCACTATTAGATATAGAGATGCCTATACAAATTATATTGGCAAAAATGGAACTTTATGGTTTTGGTTTAAACAGAGAATATTTGGTAGAGTTAAATGATACAGTAAATAAGCTAATGGCCAACATTTCTGAACAAGGGTTTGAACAATCTGGAACCAGGTTTAACATGCAATCCACATTAGAATGGGCCAAAGTAAGTGCTTACAATTCAGGGGAGTAGTAATGTTCACACAGATCCTCCCCTGTTGTCGGTTCAAACGGAAAAAAAAAAAAAAAAAGTGCTTACAATTATTTTAATTAACAATAGATTTTAATATTTATATTTTATTGACTAGGTAAAAAAAAAATTGAAATTAACTGATAGTTCTCCGCATTTACTAGTCGAGTTGGTAAAAAATTGGCGAAAATTAAGTTGTCTTAGAAATAACGTAAGTATAGTTAAAGTAAATATTTTGAAAGAAGTTCCTTATTATTATTTTCATTTTTTAGCATATCAATACGTATTTAGCCATACGGAATAATCGTGTGTATTGTGACAGCAATACATATTCTAATACAGGTAGAATAAGTATGCATGAACCCAATTTACAAAATATACCTAAAGACTATGTAATTGAGAATGATATATTGAGTTTGAGATCAGCGTTTGTGCCAAAATCAGGTCAGTTTCATTTATAGTATCATAGAATATTAATTATTATTATCAATTGTCTGTAAGCAACTTCCTTACATAAACACGCACCAGTTTAGAACGTTAGTTATGTTTCATAATATGGAATATCTTACATAATTCCAATTAATATCTCAAAATTACCACTAGGATAATAATATGTGAAGACAAAAATAGTGAAAATGTAGTATCCATTCATTATCAATTCATTTATATTAATCTATACAGATTTTAATTAGTTTTGCACATATTACAATTATTAAAGTAAAATTAATTTTAGAATTTAAATGTTATAGATCAAACATTGGTATCTGTAGATTTTTGTCAAATTGAATTACGCATACTCGCTCATTTATCCAAAGACTCAATATTGTTATCTGCTCTTACATCTCCTGGTGATGTCTTTATAAATTTATCGTCTAAATGGCATAATATACCAAAGATTGAGGTTTGTGTGAATTTATAATTGTATTTCTTACATTTGGTTATGTGTTAAGAATATATTCTTATTTTGTTTATTCAGGTTTCTGATGAACTCAGGCAAAAAACCAAACAAGTTTGTTATGGTATGTTGTACGGCATGGGTGCAGTAACTCTAAGCGAAACTTTGAATATTACTCAAGATGAAGCACATAAACTAATATCAGAATTTAAAAACACGTTTCCTGGTGTCAACAAATATTTCAATGAATGTGTAATACAATGTAGGTCAATGGGGTTGGTAAAGACATTGAGTGGACGAATCAGACATTTCCCAGATATCAATAGCGATGTACTAAAAATCAAATGTATGTTTTTATTCTTTTAGTCTTCTATTTGCAAAATATAATATTATCATTATTTTTATGATACATTGTTATTAGCTCAAGTKGAACGTCAAGCAATTAATACAATTATTCAAGGAAGTGCTGCTGATGTCACAAAAATGGCTATGATTAAAGTTGATAAAATTATCAACCAAGGTGTTCTCAATACACGTGTACATTTAGTTATGCATTTGCACGATGAATTAATTTTTGATGTAAGTATTATATTTATATTGYATTGACAATAGTTCTCTTGTTTCATAATTGTATTTAATCATTAAGTTATTGAACTATTCTGTGATGTTACATAATTCTTTWATGTACAGGTTGAAAACATAGTTCTTGATGAAGCTTGTTCAAAAATTATTAAAACAATGGAGACTGCAGTTAATTTATGTGTACCTTTGCCAGTAAAATTGAGAAAG